ACATATTACATTTTTGTATATGATCAAGCAATAGTTTCATATCTGTTGTGCCTATCCTGGGGTGTGATGTCCTTTTCTTTTTGTTGTATATTACAGTATGATATTATCTGGTTGCAAATCTACATTGTGACAATCTTGTCCAGTATAAGCTTGTGGGTGAAACTGAGAAAATAATTGCTGGGTCATGACAATTGTTGTAGATAGGCTCTCTTTAATGTTCAGGAAATAAATTATTGATTCATACAAGAGAGCTTGTTTCAATGTCCTGTCATCCTAAGAATGCAATTTGGATAATGGAGTCAAATGAGAACTGAAACGACATGATATGCCCGGGCTTATGGGACATAAAGCATGTGCAAATCGCAGCCATATCAATTAAGCTTAAGTGGTGTATTGATATCAAGCCAGCTAAATAAAACAGCAGCCCAATGCCAATCAGATCAGGTGAAGAATTAGGGAGAGCATAGCCTTTTGTTTGTCTTTGGATAATGGATGTTAAGACTTTTTTTGTCTTGAAAACAGCAAAATGCAGGTTAATGTAAAGAAAACCTTTCAAGTGGTAAAACAAATGGTAGAATAATGCAGTAATGCAGTTTTACATCATAATAATAATAATAATTGCTCATACTTATATAGTACTGCTCATACTTATATAGGAGTGGACACTCCACTCAAAGTGCTTTACAGGTAATGGGGACTCCCCTCCACCACCACCAATGTGCAGCATCCACCTGGATGATGCGACGGCAGCCATAGTGTGCCAGAACGCTCACCACACATCAGCTATCAGTGGGGAGGAGAGAAGAGCAATGAAGCCAATTCATAGATGGCGATTATTAGGAGGCCATGATTGGTAAGGGTCAATGGGAAATTTGGCCAGGACGCCGGGGCTACACCCCTACTCTTTTCGAGAAACGCCCTGGGATTTTTAATGACCACAGAGAGTCAGGACCTCGGTTTTATGTCTCATCCGAAGGACAGCGCCTGTTTACAGTATAGCGTCCCCGTCACTACACTGGACCCACATGAGCCGCAGGGTGAGCTCCCCCTGCTGGCCCCACTAACACCTCTTCCAGCAGCAACCTTAGTTATTCCCAGGAGGTCTCCCATCCAGGTACTGACCAGGCTCACACGTGCTTAGCTTCAGTGGGTTGCCAGTTGTGAATTGCAGGGTGATATGGCTGCTGGCTCATAAACAGTCTTAGAAGCCATTGTAGAGCTACTTTGCCATTCTATGTGTAGCCAAAGAATTAGACTAGGAAACATTGGCTACACAGTGACAACAACATTTCAGAGAAAAGGTAGCAATTATTTACTAAGACCAGGACAATAGACAATACTTGCTTTGCACTACAGTACAATATGAATTTGTTTCCCTGTAATTCACAATTATTAACCTTTGTCTTACTAATGGGTACATTTAGGGGATTGAAGCAAAGTGAAGCATGGACACAGAAGGTCTTTTAATATGTACTTGTGCAATGAGCTGAAAATCAAAATTGAAGCTGTGAAGTGACAAAAACTGAAGTGGTCCTATCTAGTATCTTCTATCCTTTCTTCAGATTAGAGAAATGATCAGACTGTGTTGTCCTTGGGTCTTGTTGTCAGTTTTCCTGCTGGTGCTGTATCTAGGTAATCAATGCTGCCTGACCTTTCATATCAGCCAGACAAGGAAGGCCTATGGGGGAATGTCACTTATGAAGGACAGTTTTACATGGCACCTGGGGGAACTTCTTTTGTGAACCTAACATTTCTAATATCGACTAGCTAAAGGAAAACCCACCTGACTTAAAATGTCTTTATTTCAAGGAACGAAAAGGGACTGGATCAAAGGACACAAACCCTAGAGCAGAGAGATTTTGAAGTGGTTTGAGGTGTAATATCTTATTGGTTAATACTGAGGACCTAGTTTTTATACAGTAGGTAGGTGCTTCAATGCTCCAAAAAAAGTGTGGGTCTGAAGAGAAAATCCATATTTCTATGGTGCCAGAATGTAGACAAGGTGGAGGCAACATTATCTGTTTAAACATGATTTTTTAAGCACCTTCCTTCACAGAGATGTCTGCATTTCTGAGTATGTTGTTACTTTAATATGAAACACTTCAGAAACTGTGATAAATTATATGCCCTTTTATAATACAGTATGTTTTTTTACCCGTAGAGTGTAGACTTGAACTCCCTTGTATTCTAGTTTCAACTTGTTGTTTTATACCTCTTATGACCTGTTCAGATGATTATAACTACAAATTTGAGGTATTTACTATGTGAATATGCAAGTGCATCTTCCTGGCCAGCTAAAGCTGTGAGTGCTGCTCCTGGGAGATGTTGGTAGAGGTACTGCTGGTCTGGCCTGCACAGTCAGTGCCAGAGCTCATGCTCATGGTCCACAGTTATGCTCTGCAACAATCCAAACCACAGCAGAAGTCATTGTATTGTATATATTGTACTCTACCAACAGTTCTTGAAAGCAACCTTTGAACATTGAAAATTGAAATCCAGAACAAAATAACTTGTGACATGATGAGGGACATGAAAATGTGGAGTTGATATCTTAAATTACTGTTTAAATTTCCTTCTGACCTTAAGACTTCAATACTGCAGCTAACTCTGCTTTCTGACACTCCAGTCTTGATTGTGTAGTAGTCATATACAGTAGTGACCTTACGTGGTGTCTTCCAAAACCTTTTCTACTATGTTCTGCACAACTGTATGTTACCTTTAGCCAGCAGCCATATTGCCCTGCAACTCAGAACTGGATTGCCACTGAATCTACTGTAAGCGGGTATGAGCCCAGTCAGTACCTGAATGAGAGACCGCCTGGGAAGAACTAAGGTTGCTGCTAGAAGAGGTGTTAGTGGGGCCAGCAGGGGGCGGTCACCCTGCGGCTCATGTGGGTCCTAATGCCCCAGTGTAGTGACGGGGACGCTATACTGTAAACAGGCGCCGTCCTTCGGATGAGACATAAAACCGAGGTCCTGACTCTCTGTGGCATTTCTCAAAAGAGTAGGGGTGTAACCCCGGCATCCTGGCCAAAATTTCCTTTTGTCTTTTACCAATCATGGTCTCCTAATAATCCCCATCTATAAACTGGCTTCATTACTCTGTTCTCCTCCCCACTAATAGCTGATGTGTGGCGAGCATTCTGGTGCAATATGGCTGCCATCATATCATCCAGGTGGATGCTGCACATTAGTGGTGGTGGAGGGGAGTCACCATTACCTGTAAAGCGCTTTGAGAGGAATGTCCAGAAAGGGGCTATATCAGTTTAAGGAATTATTATTATTACTGTATCTATGCTTTCTGACTGAAGTGCAAAGTGTGAATACTGTAGTATAAATTCCAAGTAATGATAGTCTTAGCACTTAATATCTTAAAATGAATGGTTTTGGAAAGAAGCATTATAAGCGTATTATTTAGGACAATCGCTTTAGTTTTCTAAACTTCCAGGAAAGACTGTCTTTTCTACATCAAAACAGTTGAAATTGATATTGAAAACTTAAGAGTATAGGATAAACCACCACCACCTCCACCAAAATTATTTTATTTTTATGTTTGTATCTCTAGCATCCCAATATTTCCTAAACAATTTTGGGCTGGGTCAAATTGATTATTGTGTAGATGTCAAATATGAAAAAATTAAGCTGCATTGGAGGCCCACATAAAATAAAATAAAAGTGTTGCCATCTCATATTGCAGTAACTATGGCAAAAGACAGGGCCATCACCAGCCAAGTGCTGTCTTTTGTTAACATGATGAAAAAAAGCACTCTCTGTTTTTAATTAGATGCCTTTGCATATGAATCTCTGGCTAACCTTTTAAAGGGCAGCTTTAGCTATTAGTTAAGCTGTGCTCCTGCCTGTCTGCCTTTGTCAAAGTGACCGTGGTGCCTAAGGCAAGGCCTGGAAATATGGGGAAACTGAAGTTATTAAAGAAGACCATCTCTCTCCCTCCAACAGGCTAGAGGTTTTTTAATTACAGCACAGCGTCAATCCTAGATCAGGCAATGAGGCACTTAGCGGAGCCCCATGTCATCTCTAGTTCATGAAGTACCATATTCACCAATTAACACTTAGAAGAAGGGAGCGTGCAGACAGCCGAAGGGTTTTCATTGGTGCTAGTCAGTTCTCAGCAGTCTTGAAAATGAAGAATTCAATTATTAGTTATGAGGCTGGTGTCCTGAAGATTTTGGTGCTCATTGTCGATACATGGTTTTCTCACTCGCTTTAATCATATTAATAAAGAGTGAAGAGTCACTCTGTGAAATGGAATCTTCTATGACACATAATGAGACATACTTGGTGTGTGATATTATGTTATATAATATACAGTAAGTCAAGGAAAGACCAAGTTTATAAAAGGCTTCATTTATGACATTCATTCTCTGTTAATCAAGGTGATACACAATTCTAAACGACTATGATCCATCTATGCATTTAACCTACAGTTTTAATTTATCAGAATTCAACTACTTGCATGATATACTAAAGATCTGGCAGTGGATTATCCACTGTAGAACAATTAATACAATGATATCCTGTTGATACCCAAAGAAAAAACGTTAGTATATAGTTGCTTCTGGGTTCAGCTTTGCAAGTGGCAAATTTATAACATTCAGTCAACAATTTTGCTTTTGAAAGGCATCACCACAGCAAATAGAGTACCATAATTTCTGTTTTGGTCTACATAGCCATTAAGTAAGCAGAATAGCACTCATTGAGAGAACACAAACTAGAGTAATGGTGAGCATTATTCTTGCATCTTTGTGTAGAGTTATTTAGATTATTATTTGGATTTCCATGAGTTAGGCACTTTTACAATAAGAGCACAAGCAGAAATTGGAGAAAGTGGCCAGTAGGAATAAAGATTTCTTTTTGGAGGGGTTTAGAATTAATTCAGTGCTTGTCAGGGTCTGTCTCAGTTCATGTCAGACTTTTTGCTATGTAGAGGGGTTCCTGCTGAGCGTTAATATCCTGTCCCTCTTTTATCTCCTTCTATCACAGCAGCACCTACGTACCCTCCTGAGCACTCAGAGCACTTCAAGCCATGTCGGGACAAGGATCTGGCCTACTGTCTGAATGAGGGCGAGTGCTTCGTCATTGAGACCCTAACAGGATCCCACAAACACTGCAGGTAAGAGCAGAGGCAAATGCAGGATCAGCAAAAAATGTATAAAATTAGGTCTCCCATGGATCTAAGGAATTACTGTTCCAAAGAATCATTCCAGATATATAATCTTTATTTCCATATTTTCCCTTTCTAAGAATGCTCTAAGTACCAGGAAATATCTTCCGGCTTTTTACAATGCTGTCAGCTTCTTCCATTAATGAGGCCTTAACCACTAATTAAAAGCTGACTGTATCTGTGTGAAAGAGATTTATCACTTGAAGGGCTTTGCTCCTTTAATACTTCTGAAGGGTTATGATTCAGCTTTTGAAGTTGTGAAATGTCTAATAATGCACTTCACCTGCATCAGATCTTCCCCTCCGTACATTTCTATTTGCCTGAGAGTTGCTGTGGGCCACGCTTTTGAAGAATGTGTAATTACACTTTGGTGGGTGAGATTATTTTGGATGGAACTTGAGCTATTAAAGTTCATTTAGAATTAGTATCGAGCATTTAGCAAAGACCAAAGAGCAGGACTGAAAATCAAGAGGCTAAAATATACAAGTTCAGGCAACTGTGTGACTCCTGTTCTTAATTGCTCAGCAATTATTGGTGGAGCTATTTGTTTGGCCTGTGTATTTGACTTTAGCTTGAAGATGTATTATAGTTTCTGAACCTATATTGTAATTAGCTTTCACTGTGTAATTGTTTATGTAACCTGAAGACTAAAAGCCTTATGTTTAAAGTTGCTTAGCTCTACATTACAGTTACCAAAGACTTTGAGCACTTTGAGAAGGTTGTTGTGCTGTAATCAGAAACCTCTAGGACTTCAAGAAACAATGTCCAATTGTCTGTATTTGGCAGTACCAAATGAATAAAGTACAGTAGACTGGTGCATGCACTTCTGGAATTTACTGTAAAAGAAAATGTATTGTTTCTGTGATAACAATGTGGTATGCGTCAAGTATTTTACTGTCCAATAAGAGAGCATATACTAGTAGGTACTTCTTTTTCTGTTCCCTATGCCTACTCATAGTAGGGAAATAGAAAGTGCCAGGTGTATATGCATACTTCAAATGCATTAAATATAATCTCAATAGGAAATTATGCATACTGTATATGAGAAACATGACGTTGTGTTTCCTTTCTTTTCTTTTTGGCATGGAATAAATTCCTTACCTCTTCCTTTGCAGTGTTATTTAATTGTACATAAGTCAAATCAAGACAAGCATCTTGCAAGCAGCAACTAAAATAAAGTTCTGAAGGATTGGATTTAAGAGTGGAGTATCAGCAAATTGAATTTTCATTGCTAAGCTGGTTTATTCACCTGATAAGGATTCTTCTCTCTCACTCCAACGTCCCCTGACCTCCAATCACTCCTGACACAATTTTTTCATCCAGGAATGAAAAGCAGTGATGAATTTCGAGAGGCTGCCAATGCCCTGCGTCTGTTTTCCTCACAAGGTGGCTCTACACAGATAATTGACAAGATGCAATTAGATGCATTTTTTGTCTACTGCATGTTGCATCAGAGGACTCAAAATGCACACAATTTTAAATAATGGGGGTGATGCCTGGATAAGAATATTCAATTCCTGTGGTGCTGGTAAGCAGGAAGGGAGGGGTGCAGCCACTGTTACAGGATAAAGATCAGAGGGAACAGAAACAGAAACATTATGTTTGATGTCAAGTGATGTGAGGTGATTCCCAAAGTGTAAAGCTTCCTCGGAATTTAAGCTTTTTGGTGACATCTTAAAATCCAAGGCTAATATATCAGTGTTCAGACTACATTAGAAGCTTTTAATCATTTAATCAGCCTCATTTGTCAGAAGAAAGTCCTAAGAACACTAAAGAAGTGTCTAAGACATAAACGTCTTAATCCAGCAACATTGAATTAGAATTTAAATAAATCTCTGGTCCTTATGCTGCAGTGCAGACATTTTTTCTGCCCATGATCTCCAGGCAAGCCGATGTGAAGTTCTCCATTTGTACCCCCCTCCTCTGTTGTTGCAGTTACCATGACAACAGCCCCTTTGCTTTATTACTGTGGGGACTGGAGTTGTCAGTGGCAAAGATGTGGCCTCGGTCTGTCAGAATTCCAATAGGACCTGTCAACATTTTAACGAAGGTATAAAAAGGAAACAAACTCCAAGGTGAGCTCAGTGAGATAAAAGGAAGAATGTCAGCATTTATTACTGTTGCCATGATCTGGTGCCGCAGATTTCAATGATTGTGAAATTTATATACTGTACATCTTGATTGTATTGGTCCGAGACATACTGTATGCTGTCTTTCCTTTGTCTAATAATAGGCAAATGAACGGCAGCATACTGTACATTATACAATATTATTTACTAATAATAGTAAAATTTACTGTATGAGTGCACTTGACCAGTGCATTTTGCATCTAGTACTGTACCATCTATGTGGCTCAATAGGCTTTTGGTTTCACATATATAAGTAAAGGATTGAATAAATGGTAGTGCCTACAAAAAATGTAGCCTTGGAGTAGCAAAGAAACTATGAAGGATAGGTTTCAGATTTATTTAGACTTCTGATAACCTTTAGTGATTTAAACGCTTACTTCTTCCAGGCTCTTACAGAAAAAGTCATTGTAGCTTTTTTTAAAGGACATAAAGATAAGTGTAATGTAGCAGATCTTCCCTTCGGTGGTGTGCCCTTCACTGTGTTCATGTCTGTTATCGGTTATGAAGCTGTCAGCCTGTCGTGTGTAGTGCATTGGAACTGGGTAGAAAATATTTTTTAGCAGCAGCTTGTTATGAGGAAGAGTTTGCAGGGTGATTGCAAGCTTCTGTTCTCGATTTTCTGGTAGTGAGAATAATTTTCCAAAACTATCGTCATGCCACTCCTAAAAAACGCTATCTTGTGATCACTGCTACGTGCAAGACTTGATGGAATTATGAAACTGTAAGCTACCTTTTGTTTATGTTTATAGTGTGTTCAATTAATTAATTGTGGAATAGGTTACTAGTTGCTGCGGCTGATAACCGTGAAGGCAGGACCATACCTTTCCTGTGTTCCATTCTTGAAAACCCCTTACAAAGAGCTCCTCTGCACTGTTTCTTAATTGATTTTATTTCTCCCAGCTTTGGCTAAATGTGTGCTTTTTAGTTTAGTGTTTGTGTGTGTGGAAGAAAAATAATTGTTAGAGTGAAAACATTTTTGCTAAAACCCATAATAGAAAATTACACCGAAATAACAATGAATAGGACTTTGAAGGCCAAATTCTTTGGGCAAGTCGTGCTTCACTTTGTGAATGCAACTCCTGGTAAACCAGTGCATGAATGCTTGTGCAGTGACACAAGACCTTTTATTAGCTTTCCACACAGCCACATCATTCTTATTCTTACCTCTCAAAGCACAGCGGTTTAAATCATGGTAAATCGGCACAGGAATGACCATGCAGCCTCCCAAGGCATTCAGACAAAGCAAGACAACAGCCTGCTCATTGCATTTTAAACCAAGGCGCCATTCATCTGCAGTTGAAAAGGAGTTTCATCACAATTTTATATGCATTTTGTCTTATATCACTTCAATTCCATTTGTTTCTGTGGCAGTTCCAGAATTTCTGCAGCAGGTATGTGGTTGTTTGATGCAGATTCCCTTTTCACATTATGGATGCTAAAGCACTTTTAAAATTGTTGGACCAGCCTCTGCAGTTTCTAAACTTTTTCTCCACACTGCTAAATAGTCACAGCACGTTTTTCTATGACTAATGATGATTAGTCATAGAAACTTTTTACCTTTGATTGTTAAAACAATGATCTGCCAAAGTTAACCACAAATAAGTCAACCAGTAAACCACAAAAAGACCACAAAGTTATACTGTATAGTGTTTCAATTACCTGACTGACAAAATACTGTTTAGTGATACTGTCAGTTAAGTTACAGTATATTTTGCCATAAGTGTACAATTCTCAGAATTAAAAAAATACAAAATAAAAGTGCGATGAGTGGGTAACACCACAGTGACATATCATTTTGTCTGTAATGACCAAGGAATCGAAGCACATCAGAGAGAATACAGGTTCGATCTGAACAAAGAATTATTACATTACCAATTTTGGAATACCATAATCCCAGGTTATATCATCCATAGCACCATGCCTCAGAAACAGTTTAGTATATTTGTTTTCATTCAGAAAAAAATATTTCGTTTTTTGATGATTAACTGCTATCCTGCTTGTGGGAAATCGATAGAGCATATGTAGAAGTAGACTGAAACTGACTTTTCAATGGTCAATTCCCACATTTGCAATGTCATGTTAGACAGCTGGATATGCAAAGTGATTCCATTGTCATTGTATGCAGGTGGATCCTAGATTCAAACCACTCCCACATACTGTACTGTACCACTCTGAGCATCCTAGCTGTACAGCCCACACAAGAATCAAAGGGAGTGAATTAAGAGTACCATGCTTTTTATTCATGTTCGGTTTAGGTAGCAGTTTGCCTGCTGCTTTGTGAGTTCATAAAAATCTTGCAGATGGCTTTGTAGGTCACCTCTACATAGGTCCCATTCTTCTCAGCTGGTCATTTTTCTGAGCATCTGTACATTATCTGTAGATTCGACACCTGGAAACAATTCCAAACTGTATAAGACTAGCAAATCCTTGTGAGCCCTCTGAGTCTGCACATCTCTAAGTTCTCAAACTCTAGGCTTGACTCGTTCCCTTTTAATAAAATTATAGTGAAGAGTATGTCTTCTCCAACTAAATGGCAATCTTACCCAACAAGAAAGGTGATTTTGACATGTTTATTAACATGTCCAGAATCATATGTCAACTGGTGACTCGAGACAATTGCTTTCTCCTTACTTACAGGTTTCAGGTTACAGACTAGGAGAAAAAAAACGATTCCATGGTGTCTATTTTTCTTTAATTCCTCTATTTCCCATTTTCTACAATAACTGAAACCTGCACTGCTTGACTTCAGAATTACTTTGAGGGAAAGGAAAAAAAAGAGTTTTAAGTAATATTATGTCTGAATGATTAAGGACATGTTAC